GTCAACTACGGCCAGTACTTCACCTGGGCCGACAACTACTTTGACTCCCATCGCGCGCCCCAGCCCGAGCTCGATCCCCTCCACGACGCCCTCAAGGTCATGCGCGCCAAGGGTCTTGTCGACGAAAAGGGAAACCCCATTCCCCAGGAGCAGAAGAAGGATCTGTGAGGGGAAAATAGTCAAAAGAGAACGTTTGGATTTATGGGTTTGGGGGTTGAATATCGGTCGTGTTTCAAAGGACCGAAGCCCCTTATTTTGAAGAAAAGGATGCATAGAAGGAAGCATGGCGACACGTTGATGTTGAGATGAGATTTTCTTCATTTCCCGGAAAGCATCGGAAGGCTCCCCCAAAGAGCGAGCGAGCCTTCAACGACTTTTCCCGTCCACCACAGGTTTCTGGTGGGCTTTTGACACATTCCTCATGGCGAATGAGCATTGCATATCTAAAATAATCATAATTAAGCGAATACCAATGGCATATCACATCTTCAAACTCATTTCCCCTCAACAGCAACAGCAATTGATTCTGATTTTCACCAACTTGGTGTCGCTCACTTGAGTCGGACGAAGCTGGCCTCAGCGCCGGCTGCGCCTGCCTCACTGACGCGTCCCTTGTCTGGCTGAAAATTGAAACATGCGACATTGGAAAAATAGAGAAAGAAGTGAGAAAAAAATGCAGTGGCCAAGTGTTTGTCCTCTCGCCACTCATCCGACGTCATTCCGGTAGGAGGGAAGGGAAAGGTTATATGTAGGTTCAGACATGTTCGGACTGTCGCACAGGTTCCCGATGGGCGGATGATCCACGCATAGCTCTGCGGGGAAGTGAGAGGAAGTCCAAGGGTCCTGTTGTCGGTCTGTCTACCGTAGCCAGGTGAAATAAGCGTGGAATGTGGTTGGAGTTTAGGGGTCCTTGGCAAAGAGCTCTCTCTCTCTTTCTCAGGTCCGGTCTCGAATTATCATCTGCGGAGGAGCCGAGTTGGCGCCGGCACGCGGGGTGAGTGAGGTTTGGCATGCTTGAGCTTGCGCCGAGTTTCCCGCCTTGCCTTTCGCGGAAAGTCTATGCGATCTTATCTCCCTTTGATAATCTTTCTGAACTAACACTATCTGTACCCCGCAGACCACATGCGACCTGGAGATTGGGGGCTTGCTTTGTAGTTATCAGCCGGCAAGAGAATTGATCTGGTCTTTATGTCAATTGAATCTCACATTGAATATTCAATCTGGCTGAGATTATTGCTTTTGATTTCACGCGACACTCACGCTAAATTTTCTTTGTTCTAGATCCCTAAGTTGCATTGATCAGGTGTACCTCATTGCCATTCAACACACCATCGATAGTTCACCCCACGTCTAAGATGACGATTGAAGTTACGGATCTCACAGAGGCGGATATTCCAGGGGCAGTTAAAGCAGTGCAGTGAGTATTACAGACATTGGCACGATACCCACGTCGAGTTCAAATTTGATACTAATGATCTACGCCTCGCAGACAAGCATTCAGCGGCGACCCGTACAATGTCTGGGTATACGATCAATCAAAGGTACACCCTCATCCCAACTCCGCCAAGCTATATCTCCCAGGATGCTCACCGTACTATAGTTCAACCAGCAACGAAACTACGAGTCCCTAGCTCTGCGTATGAGATGGGGCATGCGCAACGGCATATTCCACGTCGCAAAAGAACAAGGCAGTGATGAGGTCCTCGGCGTAGCAATGTGGCTTCCTCCACAGCCTGCCGACGCGCCGCCGACGTGGAATGATTGGTTTGAGGGGTGGCGGCTTTGGTTTGGACAGGTGAACTATAACTTGTGGTATGGACGCGGGGGTTTGAATGTCAAGGTATTTCATCTCCCATCTCATCTTATCTCATTTTCATTTTGCAAACCCCCCCCTCCTGACGAGTAATATAGCGATACTACATCTGGAAAGAAGCCCAAGCCAAAGCCCAGCGCGAGATCTGGACTGATCCTAGGGGATACTACTTCCTCAACATCATGGTCGTGCTGCCTTCCGCTCAGGGCAAAGGTGTAGGCGCAAAGATGATGAAGGCTGTTACGGACCGGGCTGATGAGGAGGGTGTGAAGTGTTATTTGGAGTCTAGTAAGGATGTGCCGAATGTAAAGATTTATGGTCGGTGGGGGTTCGTGTTTGAGAGGGAGATGATTTGTGATGATGAAGGGGATGCGATTCGGTTGTTTACCATGGTGAGAGAGCCTGGAGCTAAGGCTGGGGATGGTAGGGGTGGCGGGTAAGCGAGTGAGTGAGGAATTGTATTCCGTAGTTTATGAGTTTGGTATTGAATGGTGTATGAATTGGATTGGTGAAAACATGGTGAAGACTCTGTGAAGAGTGAATCTCTTGATTAAAACGCCTCCTTTTCTATCGATACCTGGAAAGATAGAGAGCGATGCTTGAATGCCAAGAGCTGAGTTCCGATGCTATTCAAACTTTGAGCCTGTTTTGCCGTCTGCCGGAGAGACCCCTCCCCCCGCATGACCGGGTTCGCGTTAGACGCAGTTGAAAATTGCGGGGGATTGTCACAAAGCTGGGCCGGGGGTCTCGGGATGCGCTAGCATTCGCTCATTACGAGTACCTTATTAGACTCGAATGAGTCAAGAGGTTTAGGTCGGTCTACTCAATGATAACTTATCTACTCCAACCTCCAACTTTGACTTCTCATCCACTACATTGAACAGTCATTAGGGCGAAAACCGTGTATTCATCCAGATCGAACTCTTGGAAATCATCATCTTTGTATCATTACCAAGACTCGCAGAATATCAAGGGTCTTGGCTTCACCCCCACTTCATGCAGTCCTCCAGCGCAATGCATACCAAATCAAGGGGCGGATGCCTCAGATGCAAGTCAAAAAAGGTATGGACACTGTGAGATCTCTCCCATCCTCTTCCATCATACAAACTGACATGCTGCTGCCAGACCAAATGCGACGAGAGGAAACCTGGATGCGCCCGGTGTGAGGAGAGAGGAATTCAGTGCCCCGGCTACGCCCTCAATGTGCGCTGGTCGCGAAAGCACCAAGTCCGCGTCGATCAAAAAGCCGCAGCTGAAGGCTCACCCAGACAACGAGGACCTCGAGAGTCCGCATCTCAAACAAGTCCACAGCCCATCGAAGCCGCTTCGCCAACCTCAAACCATGTCGACGCTAACGTGCTGCAACACGTGGACCCATGGCTCGCAAATCCCTTACAGTGGGATCTTCCTGCTCTGCCACAGGAGATGCCCTCCCTTGATGCTTCGTCGTGCGCTTTGCTTCTTAGCAGCCAGAATGTGATTCCTACAACGCCATTCTGGGATGCGCCCTTTATTAGCTCAGCCTGGACTGTTGATGGCCACAGCCCGACGACGTCGTCATCTCAAGCTGAGGACCGGGAGATGGATCATCTGTTCCAGAGTGAGAGCTCCGCAGCCAATGTTCAGGAGAATAGTATTCCGCCCCCGTTCGATAATACTCAATCCACGTCATGTAAACAATTCTTAGAGAGTAGCCCACGAGAGCTCGCCCATCTGCCAACATCACTTTCCGAATACTTCTTCCGCGAGGTCATCACGCTCTACTGCGCATGGGACAGCAAGACAAACGTGATGCGCAACATCGTCGAGACAATGTGGCAGTCCTCCGGCGCCTTATATCACACCATCCAGAGCATGGCCGCCGCCTGCCTCTCGGAAGACTTTCCGCACCTCCTGCCCGTCGCCCGGAGAGAACACGGCGACGCCCTCAGACTCATCCGCGACCGACCCTCGGCGCTACCTTTATCAACCTCAATGACTACAACACACAAGCGGGCCATGCTTCTCTCATCAACGCTCCTAGGCCACACATCAAGCTGGCTTAGCCCCCAGAACCTCGCAACAGACATGTTCAGAGCAAGCTGCAGCATGCTCAAAGACGTCTCCGCCGAGACGTGCGGCAGCGACGCAGACGCGAGCTTGTCTTTCTTCAGCGACACCATGGACTACTGGGCCATGCTCCTCGCCTACCTGACAGACAGCACCCAACTGGGCGACTACCACCACACCACATCCATCGGCCCGGCGGACCCGTCGAAGTCTATTGAGCCGCACCCCTACTCGGGCATATCCCACGCCACTGTCCGACTGCTCACCGACACGGGCATCCTCATCTTCCAGTACCGGAAACACATGGCCTCCGTGAAGTTCCTCACCGAGACGGACCTGGATGTCTTCCGCGCCGCTCTCCGCTCCGCAAGACAACTCGAGCGCGCGTTTCTTGCGCATCGTCCGCCGGACCTATCTCGCGTCACTGATCCAGGCGATCCGAAAACTCCGCTGCGGCATCTGGAGCTTATCGACGAGGCGTACCGGTGTACCGGTCTCTTACAGCTGTACCGCGTGTTTCCAGATTTGTTGAATGAGCGGTATGCCCCGTGGGACCGGGAGCGGCTCCTACGTCCGATTCCGCTATCTGCCGCCGCGGGATCGGGGTTAGACAGCGACAAGGTCCCCTCGGCGAGAGAGAGGAGGACGTGGTTGACGAAGCTTGCAATGTACATCCTCGGTATCTTGCGAGATATACCCTTTGAATCCCGGACGCGAAGCGCACAGCCTTTCATCATGGTGGCTATCTCGAGCGAGTTGAGGAGGGAGCCGCAACACCTACGGCAGCCTGATGCTATGTATGGTGAGGCCGGGGCGGATGTGTTGGATATCGACCCCGCGTCTATCGAGGTGGCGAGGGCGCGCAAGTTTGTGCGGTCGCGGCTGGCGGCTTATACGCACATTTTGCCGCTTCGGAAGAGTCGGGTCATTTCTGAGTTGATTGATCATACGTGGGCGGCGCTGGATGCTGGTGAGGAGGATGTGTATTGGCTCGATATCGCGCGTGAGAAGAATCTCGGGACGATGATGGGCTAATTCGGGGAGCTAATATGATGCATGATGTCTCTTTTATGAACTATATTCTATTCGGCCATGACAGTTTTCCATTGATTCTGTAGATAGGCAAGCCGGGACTAGCTCAGAGTTTGGACAGCTTGACCCCTTGAGGATTCGCGAGCTTTGCAAACTTGAGCAACGTCTCATCCGACGTCAATTTGCCTCGCAAACGCTCCTCCGTGACGATGTACGCTTGCGGGAACCAGTCGCCGACATCTTCCCCAAATATCATCCTGACCAAAGCCTCGCCCGTAAGCCAGCACTTGTCCATCCCGTACCCATTGAACCCGGCGGCGATCCACTGTCCGCCGCCGGCGTCTCCCGCGATAGAGTCCGGAATGTGGCCTACAATTGGGAGACCATCAGCCGTGTGACCTTGGATGCCAGACCAAATCGCCTCCACCTCGGACGTCTTCGCCTCGGGTGCCCACCCCTCAAGGAAGAATTTCGGCAGCACCGTCGATAGAGCATCCTTCGCCTCCTTCGGAACGTAGGTATCATCAGAAGTCAAGATATCCTTCATGTACGCCGTCTCGTTCCCGATCCAAATTCCTTCTGTAATAGGATTCTGCTGGAGATAGTAGAGGCCCGTCACGTAGAGACCGCTTCGGGCATCCAGGGTTGGTTTGTGAGACAGACTCCACGAGCGCGAAGCACCTAGGTTCTTGAGGGTCGGGCCGGGTTTCTGGACGGACATTGTGCCGCGGAAGGGGTATATGCGGCCTGCTAGTTGTGGGAGGAGATGTGATGCGTGGCCGTTGGTGCAGTGTATGACCTTTTTGGCGTGGATGATGCCCCTTGGAGTCGTGATGAGATAGGGGTATTCTGGGTTGGCGGACGACGAGAATTTGACCTGAAGCACGGGCGTGTTTGCCTCAATTGCTAGTCGGTCTTGGTATTGGACCAGAAGACCTTCGTAGATTCTCACGAGAAGACGGTACGGCCAGATGGCTCCGGCGTTGTGCTCTACAGCCCCGCTTGCATCTTTGATGTTCCATCTCTGTGATCAAACGGTCAGTCAACCAAGCTCCGAGACCCTCCTGCAGCATCCCGAATCACGTACTCCTGGCACATCGTCTCTCTCGATGATTCGGTGATATTGACTATGCTCTGGGACGGCCTTTTGGAATCCCAATACCGAGCTCTTGGCCGCGACCCATGTCTCATCATCACCAACAGCCATGACTTTGAGAACATCGCGAATCTGGCACCGCTCCTGGGTCTCCGGGTCCATACCTCTAACCATTCTCATGATTCGCTCAACATTCAGGATCGAGAAGCGGGCAATCTGCTTCGCTGCCTCGACACCGTGTTGCGCAGCTATGGGCCCGTAAGTATGCCCCGAAGCAGTGACGAGATGTCCGCCATTCCGGCCTGTGGCACCGCTTACGAGTGTCCGGGCTTCGAGGATCGTGACGTGGGCGTTGCGTGATGCCTGGTGTTCGAGAAGCGTCTTCGTGACGCTGCAACCGGTGATGCCGGACCCAATGACCGCGAAGTCGGTTTGCTTGGGAAGGGTGGGAGATTGGACTGATGCCAGGCGGTGCTCTGGAACCTGCCATGATGATATTGTTGGGTTTGGCCTGGGCAGGCCTGGGTCTTGGGAGATGGCCTTGGAAACTTTAAGGAGAAACCTGGCTGTTTCGGGATCTTGGAACAATTGGTTAGCGAACCATGCCTCTGAGGTTTGATTGTGATTACTCACTGAGGTAAGATGAAAGCTCATCTTCAACCGCCATCTTAAAGTTTCGGTGAGATTTGATATAAGTTGATGGCACCGTGGTAAGGACTGGAGAGGTGAGACTGATCGCTACTCCAGAGCTTCTTGAGCAAAATGATAATGAACACAGATCCTGGGCTCTAAGGACGCAATCTTCATCCACATTGACCTCGGTACCGATTCAGACGAACCATATGATCGTGTCCATTACTACCCTCATCGTACCGCTGCAGCGAACCCGCAATCTCTGCCGGTGTCGGCGAATGAGGGGGTCGGGATGCGGGGCATCGGGAGCGGATAGGGGCCCGCTCTGGCCTGCCGGATCGGGCAACTGCGTGCGAAATGCGAGCCGATAGCGCGGCAACCCCAGAAAACAAGTCCGGGATATGTTATCTCCAAGCTTTCTTCTGCGGACGAGATGGTATCTCGGCTTATCGAACTGCCTCTGGTCGGTCGACGCGAGTCTCGTGCTGCCATCTAGTTGGATCAAGTTGGTCACACAAACATGCACAAGAAACTTGCGTCTACTTAACTTGGTCCCTCGATACTCCACCCCCAAAACTTGAGGGAGGCAGTCTCCGTCTAGCCCCCTCCCTCTATCCTCCACTGCCTACGCATATATTCGCAAAGTCAGTCATCTTGGACGGGACCTCGCCCTTGGCGAACACTTGAGTCAGCAATACGACAATGGATCAGCGATCCTCCTCACTCGACAAGGCCTCAGCGGCCACAACACGAAATGCCGTCGCCGCCATGCCCGAAAAAGCGGACAATGAAGCCACGGAGCACGGCTCCATCGTCCACGGAGACGTCACCGTGCAAACCATGAAGCCATTCACAACTCTATCCGCCCTCGGTATCGGTTACGGAACCACAAACACGGCTATCGGCCTGCTACTAGTGTTCGGCAGCACTTTGCCCATGGGCGGCTCGCCGCTCTTCTTTTGGGGTTTCCTCGTCATGGCCTTTGTCGGCCTCGCAACTGCCACAACTCTCGCGGAGCTGGCTTCGGCTATGCCGCACCCAGGTGGGCAGTATATCTGGGTCCACCGGCTGGCGCCGCCGAGTTCTCGCCGGTTCTTGTCGTACATCACGGCCGTCATCAGCTGGCTTGCTGCCGTTGCCACAGGCTCGTCGGCGTGTCTCTCGGTGCCTGTCGGCATCTGTTCCATCATCACGCTTCTCGATCCAAGCTTTGTCTATAAGCGGTGGATGGGTTTCCTGGGTTTCCAACTCCTCAACATCGTCACCGTCTTCGGTGCGAGTTTTGAGAGCCTTCTGCCAAAGATTTCCAAGATCATGTTACTGTTTAGCTGCACCACCATCGTCGTCATTTTCATAACCCTGTTCGCCATGTCGGACGAGCACGCCTCCGCGAAAGACTTCTTCGCTACCACAGTAAATATCTCGGGCTGGCAAAACGGCATCGCCTTCATCATCGGAATGAACGGCGCCAACTGGAGCTTCTCGTGTCTCGACGTTGCAACTCACTTGGCAGAGGAGATGCCCCGGCCCAGCACGGATATCCCAAAGGCACTGATGTGGACTATCGTTGTCGGCCTCGTCTCCGGACTCCTCGTTGTCACGTCTGTTCTCATTAACGTTCCCGTCATTGACGGAGCCGACGACAACTCGGCCCTGGCCTTGTTCTACCGCATCACAGGCAGCAAGGCTGCTTCAGTGGGTCTCTGGGTGCCCGTCATGATCACAACTATCGGCGCCGTCTGGTCTATTCAGACCTGGCAGTCTCGGCTGGCGTGGACCATCAGCCGCGAGGCCGGTTTCCCCATGCACCATCACCTGAGCAAGATTGCGCCCTCCCCGCTGCATACGCCTACCTGGTCATTGATATTCTCCGCATCAGGGACTGCCATCTTCGGCTGCCTTTACCTCGCATCCGACCTCGCTTTCAACTCCCTCATATCTACAGGACTGCTACTTCAATACATCAGCTACAGTATCCCGGTTGTCCTGGCACTTTCCCAAGGCCGCTCGAATTTCAAACACGGCCCTTTCTGGTATCCTAAACTTGGCTTTGCTGCGAACATAGTCATGCTTGCATGGTCGGCGGTTGCACTCATCTTCTACTGTTTCCCCTATTACCTACCTGCTGTTGCAGATCAAATGAATTATGCTTCGGCTGTGCTTGTGGGCATTGCCATTATCACCATGTCACTGTGGTTCTTTTATGCGAAGAAGAACTACGAGGTCAAGGAATATCTAGGCCATTAGCCCAACAAACCTTTTTCACTAGTGTATTAATCATATACCCAGCAATCATGCTCTTCTTTAACACCTGATTGTATGTTCACGTCATGAAAAGTTTTATTTCCGTTCATCGTGTCTGGGTAGTCCAGGGGTTGCGACATAGCGCAATTCAAACTCATCACGACGAATTAATGGCAAAATCTTTCCAGTGCCAGGGCCATCAGACATCGTGGCTGTGATATATCACCTTATATAGGCGTCCCACTCCAATCAGAGTTTGTTGGTGGCCTGGCTCAACGGGAAGGCTGGTGCGGAGATTTTTGATGTCATATCACAGACTTCGATCACCCAACAGACTACATGCTCTCTATGATTCATCTAAGAGCACGCGATTCAGTAGCTCACATCCATAGAAGACATAATACCATGTTCTTGGATTACCTATAAGAGGTCTAATTCTCTGTCGCCAGGTTGAGTGACCTGCCTGTTGAAAGCGTCAGCGTTCTACGAATACGTTGCAATTCAATTGGGATACCCTCCTTTAGCCTCCGGGGGGGAGGAGCAGATTAATGCCGGTGGGATCTAATAATTCCTGGAAGAGTTTTTTCTCTTCTCTTTGGAGGGCTTCTGTAGATGAAACACTCTTAAAGACCATGATCAGTTGCGTTGCATTGGCTGATGGACGGCTATGGCTATGCTTAAGAGGACTTGGCTACCTTCAAGGGTACTCATAAGCCCAATTGCCCGGTCGATCGCTAGCCTTGCAACACAAGCTCTCTCCTTTGAGCCAAGACGGATCTGCAGCGGGCAGCGAAGGAGAAAAGAAGGCCACCTGCATCGGATGAAGCCGCACGCGCCAACGACGGGCATCCATGCACGATGGCATTGTGGCGGTATTTCCGTATCGCATGCGGCAACCCAAATCGTATAATCATCCAACCACAGCGATATCCGACGGCTCAGCCAGCAGTGATGTCCCAATTGGGTACAAAACAAGCTTTGGTTGTTATCAGCTTCCTTTATGTCATATTGTGAGGCTTTATTTAGTATCTGCCATTGCTCATCGCGTAGACAACGTTGCATTCGTCTCATCTTCTGAACCTTGGACTTGGGCCATCTAGCAAACCTGCCAGATGACAGGCCAAAGTTTCCCCTCTTCTGAAAATGATGCAATCTTGTACTTCTGATGAAATGGTATCCCGGAATCCAAATCTGCCGGGCCCGATTTATCATCGAGGCACCTCGCAGGTGTAGAGGACATGAAAGCAAGCCCAGACCTACTGCGAGCGACAAGAACCCCAATCCCATGTTGAGCACACATGCTTGTACTCGTGCAAGGAGTTTGCGGCATTTGTAATTTCGATTGCTCACATTTCGCCATTCAAATGGTTGGCGCGTCACTAAACTCTTACAAGCTTCTTTCCTCTGCCCGGGTGAGGTTAGAAGCCGGTGGCAGGACGCTAGCAGCCGAGTGATCAGGGAGCTAGAACTTTTGAACCTTGAATAAGTCATGGTGTAAGCGGACAATCCCGAGCTTTCTGCGAGACACCGGGGCTTTTTTCTTTTCACCGAGGTGTTCGTCACACCCTTAATCATCCCAGGTAAGTACGTTTCTTCTGCATGAATAATCTAAGGTAACCCACAAAGAACACACGTCAAGAGGGTTCCGCGGTTCAGACGAATCGCGAACGGACCATTTCTAAGAGCGGTGACTTCACTACGTAGCCAGACAATCAACTGCCGTGTTCGGCAATAGGGGGGAAATGCAACGTGGGGCGCTACCGAATTCCCGCTATCAGATTCGATGATCCGCGCTGGAGGCGCACGGGAGGGCGTCGACACTACCAAGCCTTATTTTTAACCTTTTGCTGAACATTTGCACTTTGCAAAACAACTTTGATCCTAGTAAGGCCAGCTGAGTTGATTGAGGCGCGATGGACTTCCCGAAGCCTCCGGGGGCTGTAAGCGCTTTAAGTGAGACAACGTAGTGAGCGCTGTGCGCTTTTTCGGAGGTTGTGAGTAATCTCAAGGTAGCATGTGGCTAGTCGTTGATCAGATCAATATGTTCGCCCACACCGGTGCCGTACAACCGTGCGTGGGTCTTTGCCTTTCCCGTGCTAACCGTCTCACGGTTCGCGATAGACCTAAAAGAGCGAAAACGCGTCATCTAGACTACTATCGCCCCCGGCTTCTACTGTACTGCTCGTGCTCCACGCGGCTAGCCCCATGTCATCCACATATCGCGGTCCGGACGCCAAGGCTGGGAGCTTAATCGGTCCCGCCGAATTCCTCTCCGCCTTGTGATAGTAGATGGCATGGATTGGGTGAGGGGAAGTAGACTGGCAGATGGTCAAGACACGGCATAGCTAGCTCGGGAGCCATCATATGTCGTTTGTGTGCTTTGGGTGACTTTGGAGGCAGGTTCTAAGTTCGTCTTATGGCGAATGCGAGGTATAAGAAGGCCCTTCAATCCGGTCTGTAAGGGATTGTGCTTCATCTCAGAATCATCACCTTTCAGATCATCTTGGAAACAGACACTCAATAACCAGTCTTTCGTTACAGCGCAATCTTTTCGACTTCGTCTTCTTCCAGTTTATTCTCCATCACGATGTATACCCACGGTGCTTTCCTCCTCGCTAGCTTGCTTGCGGCTCTGCCGCAGAGCCATGCCGTTCCGGCACCACAGTAAGTACTCCCACGAGCATACGATTACTAGGAGAGTGTGCCAACAGTTGAATAGAATGGGAGACTATGGCGAGAACAAAGGCCCCGTTGGCGGTGTCGATCCGCCCATCCCCACCGTAACTACACCTACGGGAAGTCTTAGAGGAGATTCTAGCCTTCTCGGAGGCAACGCAGCGCGACCTGACCCCGAAACTGGCGGCTCCGCCAATGTCGACGACGTTACACTCGTGCCCGGCCAGGAAGCAGACGGAAAGCTCGGCCTGTACCTGAACTTTGATGGTGTCGACGTCCCGCAACCGATCCGCGGCGGACTAGGATCTCCGGACCCGGGCCCAAGTACGTTGCATCCCTAGCGGGGAGGCGTTGAAGGGAGATGGATCATTGCAGGGAAGAGATGCGCTAACACATAATTCCCGCAGGAACCTACGACTATGAGAAGCTTAACCCCGATCTTTTCGCCCCGCCCGGCACCGACAAGGGCGATGTCGAGAACGCCATGTGGCCGTTGGGCCTTTCGCATAACCGTCTCGGCAGCCAAGAAGGCGCCGGCTGGGCGCGGCAGCAGAACACTAAAGTCCTACCTGTCGCTTCTGCGATGGCGGGTGTCGATATGAAGTTGCAGCCTAACGCTTACCGCGAGCTTCACTGGCACACCTCGGCGGAGTGGGCGCTCATGCTCAAGGGATGCTGTCGCATCGCAGCGATGAATGAGGATGGAAAGAGCTTCGTCGACGATGTGTGCGAGGGTATGTCTAGCTCGACCTGATTTATCTTTCTTATAAAGCTAACCAAGCTACATAGGTGATGTATGGTTCTTCCCGAAGGGTGTCCCTCACAGCATTCAGGCGTTCGACCAAGGCACAGAGTTCCTCCTCGTCTTCGACCAGGGAAGCTTCAGCGAAGAGAACACATTTCTCGCTTCTGAGCTATTCTTGAGAAACCCATTGTCCGTTCTTTCCAAGAATCTTAAGACGGATGTTTCTGCATTTGACAAGATCCCCAAGGATCAGCTTTATGTAAGTCAAAAGATGAATTGGCACGTCAGTGCATTAGCTTACTCATTTCCAGATCTTCAATGGTACACCTGCGCCGAAAGACATTGAAAAGCAGAATCAGACTTCATCGGCAGGATCGCTGACTGGTGCTGAATCATACACCTATCATTGGTCGCAGCAGAAGCCTTTCCAAGTCCCCGGCGGTTCCGTCAAGATCCTCGACCCGCAAACGTTCCCCATTGCGGAGAACTTCTCGGCTGCCCTAGTCGTCGTCCAGCCCGGCGCCATGCGCGAGATCCACTGGCACACCACAAGCGACGAGTGGAACTACTTTTTGCAGGGCTCCGGCCGCATCACCATCTTTGAAGCCCCTGAGGCCTCGCGTACCTTTGACTTCACCGCCGGCGATGTTGGTTACGTGAAGGTTGGTGACAGTCATTACATCGAGAACACTGGTACCGAGGACGTCATCTTCCTTGAGGTCCTTCAAGCGCCCAAGTTCTCGGACATCAGCGTTGCACAATGGCTGGCCCTTACCCCGAAGCAGGTCGTCAAGGATACCCTTGGCCTCTCTGACGAAGTGATTGCTGCGATTCCCAAGGAGAAGGAGTACATCAAGGTTGGCAACACCAACATGACGGCGCTGGCTGATGGTGGACGTAACTTCAAGAAGTTCAAGGCCTAGTTCCTTGCCTGATTTTCTTCATTTCTACTGTAAATATTTTCAGACGCGCGACTTTTGCGAGTTGGGGCTGGCATGGAGACAGGAGTTAAGTCGTTCGGTAGCGTGTGTATTTCAGTATCAACAGCAAGCGATATCTCCATGCGAGGTCTCTGACAGGAAAGATTGTGACACGTTTGTGTAGGTTCAAGCTCCGATGGCGAGCATGCTGATTTAACTTACGAAACAAGCCGAGGTTGACTTTGGCAAACCGTGTTAAGATGATCTTTCGCTGCTTGTAGGTGAAGTTCGAATTCCCGCTCAATAGACTTTTAGTAAGTGCGATGGCCCATAAGAAGCTTGGAGGCTCTAGGGACCTCCACCAGCTGCAAGGAGTGAATCGGGAGTTACTGCATCCGGTCAGCGGAGAAATCACAGGATTCCCGCAGCCGGGGCAAAAAACCAGCCTCGAACTTCTCGAAGCCTCAGCTATAGGGCAGTCCTATTCATCGCATTCGACGACCTTAAAGTAAGGATACAGTGTACAGTCTCAGAATAGAGGATGTTAAGGGGGTTGAGCTATGGAGCTGGTGTTATCGAATCGAACCCGGGAACATGCAACTTCTACGGAGATATTGTCTAAGTCTCAATGATAAAGCGATCGATGATAGTTGTGGCGAACCGAGGTAGCTCTTGAGTGAAACTTTTTGGTCTTTTAGTCAAATGCAAGGCACGCCATGCTCTATCTACATTAAAAAGAAAATTCAGAGACAAAGTCATAAGCTCAGTTGAATCCAGGACCTCTGCCAGCCTGGGTTCCGCAGACGCAGTCAAAGTCGTTGTTCGCCTTGCTGTTGCACTCGTTAGAACAACAATAGCATCGATGAGTCCGTGGAGGTAAACTTACTCAATGCAGACAGCCAAGTTTGCGGTTGTGTCCGAGCACTATGAAGATGTTTAGTTCGAGTTATGAGTATAAGTCCTAATGAGTAACCTACATGCTTAATGCACTGGCCCTTGCAGCCATCCCGCTGTTCTTGAGTCTTGCAGTTTTTTAAAAGCTACAAAAGTCAGCTACAGGAATTTTACAATCAGCAAGTCTCAGATCGGGACTGACCTCAGCATTTGAAGGTGTAAGTCAACATACCCACTTCCTGGCACCCCCCTGTTTCTGGCACCACAAAAACGATGGGATCACAACCCAACCTCCTCATTACTATTAACTATTGATCCTCAACCACACCCACTACAATACAGCTGCCAGCCTCACTAGGGCATTCAGAGTCGCTGGATTCAGCCGTGATAACCTCCCTTTCACCCGCTTCGATTTGAGCCCGATGGATATCCCTGATGTTCGCGAACTTCGTATTGGGATCG